ACACCACCACCAACGAACTCTTCAAGCTCAACAATATGCTTGGCTTTACCTTCCCTGCATCCCCACCTTCTACTGAAATCATAAAATCCACTGCTAATATCACCAGTATCATCGATGCTTCACCGGTACCACAACTTCCTCTCGACACAGAGATGGACCAATCAGAGACCACTTAGACGTCGGCAAACCCCACCAATGAAAGTCCACCACTACCTGCTTCCACCTCCATCACACCTGACCAATCAGAAGCCACGCCTCGGCCTAATGACCAATCACAGGCTTCGCCTCGTCCAACTCAACCTCCAGCCAAGAAAGCCAAAACACAAGAACCTTGGGACGCATCTCTTCGTGCCACGGCCACCGCTACATCACCAACAGAGGGCAGGTTCTTGCCTGGTAGATACTTCTACACAACCAACCAGTATAAGGACACAATGCATACCCAAGAACTTATTCAGCACCCGCAGAACGGAACCGCCAAGTTCACCTGCGACCCAACTCACCCAACCACCACTGAAGACATGATCAGACTACTCACCAAGTACCCCAGCTTTGCCGGACTTTACTACACAAAAAGAAAAAACTCAGGACTCTTCAGAATAGGACTCTTGAAGACGGTACCCTCCTCTAGACGACCATCAATGACCATTCACTGAGAACACAAGTTTCCCCAGCACTTTACTTCCTGCTAAAGCTGGGGTGTGGCTCCAAAACGAACCCTGTAGATGCTAAGCAAGAAGACAATCCCTACTTGGGGAGTCAATGCAAGATAGAAGAAGTCACCCTCCAACCGGAGGGCCCAAGAATGAAGAAAGAAGAAAGAAGATGAACGACACCCCCCACCGGGGAGGCCACTGCCGGGTCACCATCTGGAGAAGACCCGGGCCGGAAGTACCGGCGAATCAACATGAATGAATGAATTGGGCATGTTACCTTACATCTGCTGATCACCTAGCAGTAAGCAGATGCCTGGTGTTAACTGACTATTGTGTGTAGCATCCTGGAAAAAAGATTACCCAATCGATTGATTATAACCACATGTTTGATAAGCTGGGGGGCAAGAAGGATGGATAAGGATGGAACATGCAGGGGGTGGGTGGGGGTGTGAGGAGAGTGGGAAATGAAGTTAAGTGGCCCAACTACTTTGGCGCATGTTAATAAAAGGTGTGTATGTGTGTGTGTTGTGTTATTCATGATGTGATGGGGTATATCACGTCGCCCATCAGAGGCGGTGAATTGGTAGCAGGTACAGCGGCTCAGGAGGCGTGTTGTGGCGCAGGAATCATGTTGTGGCGCCAGAGGCATATTGCCTGGGCTAGTTGTAAGGTGTCTACTGGAGCTGGTGCTCGGCAATGATTCTAAGGCGTAGATTTGTGGTGGGTAATTCCCACTGCTGCTTGCTTAGATGTGAGGTATCCTTAGTAAGGGTGGTATTATCTATCATAAACATTCTTTTATTTCTTCAGGGAGGTCGCTCAGGATCTTTGGTCTTAGGAAGTTCTCCATGTGTATGAAACGTCGAACTCTTTGAGGGACATCCTGTGGGCCCTATGGGGAGAAGAACTGATTATGTAATCAGTGGTGTTTGTTGGCTGCGGGTGTTTTCCTTGTCTGGTACATAGAGTTCTTGCATTGCATGTAGTTGTCGATTCTTTAGTTTGTCAAGCATGACACTTTTTATGTCGATTTCCTGTTGGATGAGTAGTTTTCCATTTCGATTCTGTCCCTCAGTCTGTTGCCAGAAATGTAAGCGCATAACTAAGTATTTTCTGTATACAGAAGGTCCGAAAATAACGTCGTTTGTTCAACGTCGTTTTGTGACATTAGAAATAAAACGAAGTTTTAAAAAGGTTTGACGATGCACAGCGAAGTGTGGTTTCGTTATACGTCATTTTGCCTAAAGTCGCTGTTTTGAAGAACCAATCGATGTCGTTAAGTGAGGACTCACTGTAGTATGTCAATAATGTCAGCTAGATTTCTAATGCTTGTAATATGTACTTGTAGTAATAAAGATTACATTGGTCAACACAATGCATGTCCACATTTTTTCGGAGATTCGAACTAAGGTGTGTGTAAATAACAATCCATCATCCTAACCACTGTGCCATAACTACCCTGAAAGGATTTTTTCCAATCCTCCTCATACTGTAGCTCTGGTGAGTTACAGAGGCCTCCTACGGTGACCCAACTCTCATTTCTAAACAATAATCATTAATCGTAATAAATAATAAATAACGTCACGTTAAACCTCAGTTCACTTAATAGGAGGTTTCCTTAATGCTGCCACGATGCTATGAATTCTTTGTTCCTTTCCAAAGTTCAAAGTAATCAGTGTATCTGAGTAGTATCCATTTCTTTTTTTCTATTCATATTGATCAGTGTAACCTAGTGTGAAAATGTGTAATGTCTGCCTCCTTTTGAGAAGCACTTACTGGCAAGTACTGTTGTATAAGCCACGAGTGGCTTTTACAGCACTTTCATGAGTAAAACTGTGAACCCT